GCGGTTTATATTTTATCATCCGCGCTCGACGGACTTTGAAGAGAAAAAGAGGGTCTGTCAACAGGCTAGGCCATCGCCAGTTACCTTCAGAGCTGGACCCCTTTCTCCCCTTTTCTTCTTAACAACAAACTTTTCACCGACACCGACAGCGAAAGAGAAATGGTGGCAGACTTTAACCATCACTTCCACAATTGTTAGTTCCACTGAGTTGGGTTTCACTTTATCTGCCCTCTCCGACATTTCTCCTGTGTACTCGTGTTTGACATTCAGGCCAACACATAACTTATTTGACCTCAACGCCTTTTTTCAGAGGTGGCCTTGTTTGAAACCAGCTAGATGTTCGATTGTTAGTAAAGTGTTCGAACTCAAAACGTTCGATTGTGTTGGATTGGCAACATTTTTGGGTGAGTTCGATTTAGTTCGATTACCGAAGTCAATCGAACGATTGACTTTGATTGAGAACGAACGCCGAATGACTCTGAAATTTAGTGATCAATAGGGGTTAGGAAACTGAGTGTGAATCAAGTTTCAGGTCAGTTTGCCCAGCATAATGGCTGTAAATGGAACCTGTTTCACACAGTTTCCTAACCCTTAATCTCTAAACTTCAGATTCATTCGGCGTTCGTCGTGAGGCGTCGTGGGGTTTCCGGATTCCGGGTTTTAGGCAAACCCTGATTTTAGGCCTTCGAATTCGTCAAAATATTCCTCAAAATGTTGTAAATATTTAAAAATCTGCTAAATATTCTACTCACAATCAATTCAAGCATACAAGTACTCAAAATGTGTGTCCAGCTGCCTTAATACGATATTAAGAACCTTTCTGGTTTGAGGATGTATATTTAGATTATAACCTGAGATCAGGCTTTATTTTCGTTTCGCCTTTCCCGCCAGGATGGAAGCTGAGTAAAACTGGGCCTGATCTTACAATAGGTTATTTAGATTAGATTAAACTCGACCTCTTTTTTGTTGCTCGGTATCGAACCGCGATAAAGGGGACGGGTCTGTTGAAGGCCTTTAGACAACCAAACATGACAGCCGCTGTATCGCCAAAATATTTATACGATGACATCAAAAATTTGTATTTTCATTAGTACAATACCTAAGGGGCTCTACATAATTCTTTTTGGGATTTAAACAAAATTTTTATATTTCCCACCCCTGGGCGATAATTATAGACATCCGCTCTTAATGAGCCTTTCGTAAGCCATGGCTTTCTAAAGCAGTTAAACGCTGTACACTTAATGACCTTAAAGGGAAAATTAAAGCAGCTGTCAAATAACTCGGCATATTTGTCGATAAATACACCATACATCACATTAGAGTATTGCTACCTGCCAGCATATAGCCTTTACTTAGCACTCCGTTCGAGTAAAAATGATGGGCAAGGCAATTTGAGGTAAGCTGACTCGTTCAGTGAAATATTTCCCAAAACAACTGGTGTCCAGATAATTTTTAAGACCGTATAAGTCAAGGGAAGATTATTCTTCGCCAGAGTAACCTCCAACGCCCTTTACGAGCCTCTGATTCATGTTTTCCAAATATATTTTTCCGGCTTCAGCGGAGACATCCAGCAAAGATCAATTTTGTTAAAGGTTAGTTATGTACACGAAGAAGAACAGCGGATACAACATAACAAAAATGGTTCTAACTGCGGTATCATGCAAGCAGTTAAGCATTATTATTTTTGCTTTAACTTCCAGGTAGACTAAAAGAGCAACAGATATATTTTTTAGAACAAATATTCAACTTAAGTCCAGACCACGGTTTGGGACAATCAGTGGACCTTCAAATCTTCTCATGGGCTGATGTGTCAGTGAATGTTTAGATACAAGGACTGGCCAAACTGAAAATGACTTGGGTCCTCTTCATAATTATATAATGAAAAGTTTCAGTTCCGTGCAAGACTGACCGAATTGTTTTCAAGACAGTTTGCACGAAAGTAGAAAAACTATGGTTTTTTGCAATATTTCTGAAAATTATTTGACCATTCGCTGCTCAACATCAACAGATCTCATTGATGAAAACAGGAAAACGGTACTAAACTGCCTCAAACTAAGACACATGCACATTTGAAAACTAAACTTATCCTTATAATTATAACTGAGATGAATTGTTTATTTTGTATTCCGGTAGATTCCGGTAATTAGACTGCTTCCCCACAAAACCAGTTAATAACAAGTTATTATTATGTTACCATTAAATTTAAATATTCAGCTGTAAATTTCCTGCTAAAACATATTGTTCTTAATGTTGATCATGAATACGTATGAATGACTCATGTAGCGTCTGTCGGTCCTTCTAAGAGTCAGGTGATATACTTTCCTTTGCTAACTGTTCAATCCTCGAAATCGTAAAGTTTTATTTTTTTTTTCCGGTTAGCAGTTCAAAGCGTATTTTTGGGTAATTTATTGATCGCAGAAGCTAGAGGACAGAAGAAAGCGAAGAAGTTGAGGCCCAGGTAATAAACATATGATGATTTTTTGATGGCAGATAAACTGATAAACTACGTCGATCATACAAAAAATAGTTTAGTCTTTTACCGAAATTGCAATAGTGAAGAAGGTTTTAGGTAAATGATGTTGCAAAAATATTTTTTCCAGCTTCACTGTGGCTATTTGATGGTCTTTGAAGGGTTAAATGGTCGTCATTTTCATAAAACTACTCAGGCATCAAGAGACACTAAACGATCAGTTATTTCTTATATACGAGTGCCGACGTTAACTAGTTAAATATTCAGCTTAGAATTAAATTTTTATGACCCCAACAGCTTTTAGTCAACCAATTCATCCTTATGTCTTCTCACGCGCAACATTTTCTTCCATACGTAGAAATAGGGTTTTCACTTCAGCTTTTTTGACGGCATCTGAAAAACCTTAAGTTAAGGTGAGCGTTTTATGAGGTTGTTGTTAATGTACCCTGCCAGCACAGCCTTTCTTTCAATTGCTCGATTTTGGCATACGCGAGAAAGAATCTGCATATATTTGTGTTGACCATGCGCGGCATGTCGCTAGGATATAGTTCCAACCCAGGCCTATAGCCGTACGCTCGCTACAGCAGGCTCGGTTTGGCCTGCGCCGCAGACGAAACTAAACTCTGGTTAAGTCTGTCTAACCGGGCTTAAATTACGTCTTTGACGCAGGCTAGCTCGGTTATGAACATCGGTTTATCAATAAACAGATGTTTGCTTTCGAAAAAACCAGTCTGATGAGAGAAAACAAGATTGACTAAACCAGAAGTTTGGGCTGCGGTGACCTCAAAGGTTTGACGAGATTCAAGCAGAGCCAAGCTCTTTTCTCCTCCTCGATCCGGATAAGACAAAGCAGGCTCTGCTGGAAAGGTGTTGTTAATGTTTCTCACGGCATTACTGATTTTCTTAGGAACCAACTTCAGCCTTCATTGTTCACCTCCCTACTTTTCTTTTCTAACCAACCATTTTTTTTGTTCAAAAAGTCTTTCTAAAAGCAGAATGAACAAAAGCAAGAGATAAAACGGGAATTAAAGGACTGCAGCGAAAAGAAAATAATCCACGATGTTTTCTTCATCCGAGTGTATCACCTGGTTTGCTGTATTCCTTACTGAGTCTATTGCTATTAGTATCAGTGATTAGAACCTTCTTTCAATCATTTTTTTTTTCTTTATAAAAAACCGCAGTCCTGGCACGCGTGCGTGCCATGTACCTAGTTATAAACCTGACCATAGCTGAGATTGACGATTTTCTAACTTTGCTATGTTTCGATTCCTACATGTACGTATTCTTGGCAAGCGGCATTGCAAAAATAAACTTAACTCTGGAACTGGTGGTTTAAAGTTTCTGTTATTAATATTCTCTTCTAATGGTTCCCTCTGATCTCTCTAACAAACATTGCAGCAATTTCATTAGATCGGATGTACCGTACGCAACAATTCATCCCTTCAGGCATCGCCTCATCAAAAAGTAAGTCTACGTGGTAACAATTGCCGATGTCTGGGTTTTACCTGCAATGTTATCAACTGCTATTTTAATATTTCAAATGCAAGGAAAAAAAGTCACATATCATTTACTTATGGCAATTATACTGTTGGTTCTGTCTTGTTTCTTACTCTTCCATTGTTGTTAAATTTTTGTGTGGAGCGCATCCTCAGCACCATGGTGCAGCCAACAAACAAAGGAAACTAACCGTAACAAAATTTATTCAGAATTTCTATCGTATCTTACGTGGCTACGATATGTGCCGAGTGATGTAATAACATATTTTAGCTGTATATATCTAGCCGGATTTTTGAAAACGTTATCGTCAAATGTACCTTTTCCGTCCACCAAAGTGGCTCATTATAAAAAGTAAGAGTGTAACCATTGTTTTTTTTTTTTCCCTCCTCCCCTTTTCTTCTCCTCGCTCTTTCTTTTTCTCCTTTCCTTTTCCTTCGTTACTGTGACTTTGAAGCTTCTCGGGCTTAGAGAAACCCGCCTTTTGACGCCTTTTTAGTCAAATAACTGCACATCTCGTTAGCCGTTCTCCAGTTGCAAATCGGTTAGATATACTATTATTATCAGCAGATGTAGAGCCATTTTCTTTGGAAATGCTGTAAATAATTAAACCACCATTATTGTTATTATTATTATACTCAGGTGAACGAAGAGCCGATGTTAATTAGTTTTAAATATTCAGCTCAAACGAAATTTAATGCCCTCGGCTTTTAGGCAGCCAATTTATCCTAATCTCCCCTCAAACGTCACTGATATTTTTTCGACAGGTGAAAACAAGGGTTTTCACTTCACCTTTTTTGAAGGCAATTTGAAAAACTGCAAGTTAAAGGTCAGAGCTTCCTAATTCGACGAATTGTTATTCATGTATCTTCATTACTGATCTTGAAAAACAGACGCCAGCCTTGTTTGTTCACCTCCTACTTTACTTTTCTAATTAACCAAACTTTATTCAATTTAAATTCTTTCTTAAGGTAGACGAACAGCAGAAGAGAACGGGTAAAAGAGTGAAGCGAAAAGGAGTAAAAGAAAACAAGTCATGCTATTATCTTCACCCGAGTGCATCACGTGGTTTGCTGTATTCCTTGCCGTGTGTGTTGCCATAGTAACAGTGAACCTTATATCAATCATTCTTTTTATAAAAAACCGCAGTCTTCGCACTCGTGCCATGTACCTTGTTATAAACCTGACCTTAGCTAATATGTTTGTTGGAGGATTTTCTCACTTTTTTCCATTTCGAGTCCTCTCACTATACAAGGCATGCGACTTTGTAAAAATGAACTTAAGCCAGGAACTGAATGTGATAACTGATTTTCTCTTCCTCTGGTTTCCTCTGACCTCTCTAACAAACATTGCAGTCATTTCATTAGATCGGATGCATGCAACAATTCGTCCCTTCAGGCATCGCCTCATCAAAAAGTGGGTCTACGGGGTAACAATTGCTGGTGTCTGGGTTTTAGCTGCAATGGTATCAACTGCTTCTGTAATACTTGTCCTATATGGGAAGAAAGTATGGTATTATCTTTACTTATGGCAATCATACTGTTGTTTGTGTCTATTTGTTATCTGTGTTTCTTACTCTTCCATTGTTGTTAAATTTTTGTGTGGAGCGCATCCCCAGCACCAAGGTGCAGCCAACAGACAAAGGAAACTGACCGTAACATTATTCATAATGACAATCGTATCCTTACTGATGTGGCTACCACATGCTGCTTATATTTTTGTTTCATATCAATCTAGTGTTAGGAAATTCCTTCCTTTTAAGGAATTAGACAAAGTACGTTTGGAGTTTTCTTTAAAAATTCTTTATTTCATGAACTCGCTCGTTAATCCCATCGTTTACACAATCAGAATTCCAGAGTTCAGGAAAGCTCTCCTGCTGTTATTTAATCGTCAACGAAGACAAAATGCCCGAGAGATTCCTCTTCATGCGCTTTAATGTACTTTGTTTAATACTTAGAAGGCAACTAATGAATGACTTCGTCATCTTCATAAAACAAACAAAAAAAACCAAACAACCAAAAAACAAAAACAAAAAAAAGCAGTAGCTGATTTTTACTATTGCGGCCTTTAAAGTTCGATAAAAGGGCCGTAAATAGATGTTGTGGTGCAATGTTTTCCTTGGTTCAAGTGCTTTTTTTCCTTTGTTTTAAACCGTGATCCTCCTCACACCGCAACAAAAAGGAAAACAAAATCTAAACCATTGATGAGTTGAACCACAGTATTTCGTCAAATACAACAACTAAATATAGAGCCGGTTAGTAGTCTCGTTTATCTTTTCGTTACGTTTAGTATGCTTCCAAAATGAAAAGATATCCTTTACATTTCCTTGTTTAGAGTTAGTCATTATGATTGTGGTAGTAAAACATGAAATATATCCATTACGTACATTAAAAATAAGCGCAGAAGTTGTTTAGTTCTTAATTTGTTATTTCACAACACGATATCTACTTTAATAATGCGACTTGCTTTGAAGGTAAAATAACTCTGTTAGTAAAATCAACATTTTAAGAGACTTGAATAAAGTTGCTATTTGTATAAACAGGATTTCTTTACGTTCTTCTCTGTGTCTGGAATATCACAAGGAATGGGCCAGAAAAACGCTGAAATGGGAAAGCACACTTCAGTGTCCTAAAGATGGGAAACTGAGTCAGAAGATTGTTAAGAGTGATTTTCTGTAAAATTCGAACTTCGGCCTGACACGGTACCTCATCGATTTGGCTGATTTTTGGCATGTTAGTCTTAGAATATGCATTCAGTATTTAGGACACTATTCTAAGGTTCGAATTCTCTTTGATTTCAAAGATACAGGAATGACAGTTTTGACGAGGCCTCGAGGGGCCGTCATGTTAGTGAACTGAAAGAGGTTTACAATGATTAATTGTAGCCTTATCATTAAAATAACTTAATCGTGACTCATACAGTTTCAAAGAACTATCCTTCCTCCTTTCATTTACCTACTATTATCTGAAAATGGTTAACACTGCGTTAGGAACGGCTATAACTTCTCACGGCAATTTTTCGGTACTTAAAAGGTACACAAATTTGGTAGAAATTGTAAGGTCAATATCACCCATGCCACATTGAATTAGGCTAAGCCATTTTAACTAAACATAGTTTGTTTATAAAAAAGTTAGATTGTTGAATAAAATAAATGGGCAAATGTAATTGAGCAGAATTATAATTGCATGAATGCGCAATGGTTCAGCCCCTTGACCGCTAAAACTTCCAAACAAAATTCGGGTGTACACAAAACGTGGACCCTCCCTCTGGACCCCCGTTTTGGACCCCTTTCTGGACCCCCTTTTTTTAATTAAAAAAAAATTATAATAATAAAAAGCAAATATATATATATACATTTAAAAACGCAAGCAAACAAATAATAAAGTCCCCTACCATCACTCTGTCTAGCACATTTTACCATGAAGCTCAATAGGTGACCGGATAAAGTGCTTCCAAGATACAAATGAAATTTCTATGCTTGTACTATAAAGGCTGACAAACGAATATATCGCCAGTATCCGCAAAACTTTGCGTGCTGCTAAACAAGACGACTGCTTACGCCTACTACGGCTACGTGAACAACAAATTCCCGGCATTTTTTTCCGCCATCTTGGTTTTACCGCTGCCCGATACCAACGGGGTCACATAGGGTTCTTTGGTGCTCAACATAATTCTTTTTGGGATTTTTAAAAATTTTTATATTTCCCACCCCTGGGCGAAAATTACAGACATCCGCTCTTAATGAGCCATTCGTGAGCCATCACAGGCTCTCTAACCGAGTTAAATTAACGCGTTACCTTTAATGACCCTTAAGGGAAAGCAGCTGTCAAATAACTCGGCATATTTCCCGATAAGTACACCGTACATCACATTAGAATATTGCTACCTGCCCGCATATAGCCTTCTTGACTTAGCACTCCGTCCTAGTAAAAATGATGGGCAAGGAAATTTGAGGTAAGCTCACTCCTTAGTGAAATAATTCCCAAAACAACTGGTGTCCAGATAATTTTTAAGACCGTATAAGTCAAGAGAAGGTTATTCTTCGCCAGAGTAACCTCCAACGCAGACGCCTTTTACAAGCCTCTGACTCATGTTTTCCAAGTCTATTTTTTCCGGCTTCAGCGGAGACATCCAGCAAAGATCAATTTTGTTAAAGGTTAGTTACGTACACGAAGAAGAACAGCGGAACCGACAAACCACAACATAACAAAAATGGTTCTGACTGCGGTATCATGCAAGCAGTTAAGCATTATTGTTTTTGCTTTAACTTCCAGGTAGACTAAGAGAGCAACAGATATATATTTTGTTAGAACCAAGTATTCAACTTAAGTCCTACTTAGACCACGGTTTGGGACAATCAGTGGACCTTCAAATCTTCTCATGGGCTGATGTGTCAGTGAATGTTTAGATACAAGGATTGGCCAAGCTGAAAATGACTTGGGTCCTCTTCATATATAATGAAAAATTTCAGTTCCGTGCAAGACTGAGTGAATTGTTTTCGAGACAGTTTGCACGGAAGTAGAAAACCTGTGTTTTTTTTTTTTGCTGTATCTCTGAAAATTATTTGACCATTCGCTGCTCAACATCAACAGATCTCATTGAGGAAAATAGGAAAACGGTACTAAGCTTCCTAAACTGAGACACATGCATATTTGAAAACTAAACTTTATGCTCGTACTTATCTGTGTTTCTTACTCTTCCATTGTTGTTACATTTTTGTATGGAGCGCATCCTCAGCACCATGGTGCAGCCAACAGACAAAGGAAACTAACCGTAACAAAATTTATTCAGAATGTCTATCGTATCCTTACGTGGCAACCATATGTGCCGAGTGATGTATTAATAAACATATATTTTTAGCTAGATAGATTCTTTATTTAAAACTCGGTAAAATCTTCAGTAATAATAGGGTAAAAGTCTAATTACAATTAATTAGACTAAAAACTATCGACATACTGTTTTACAAGACTGCCGAGTGAGAGTCCGAGGACTCAAATAGATGATTGATTTGCTCTTTTTAAATTTCCTGACTGATTTAATTTCTCTCACATTTTCGGGTAAAGAGTTTTACAACAAAGCACCGCTACGCGGCCTAGGCAACGTCAATTTATGAAAGGAATTGCGCAAATCATGGTCTGTGCTACGTTCGTGAAATGGGTTCTGCAAGTACACTGGAGCTTGTTCGTTTAGAGATTTAAACATCATTATTGCTTTATGCTTCTTTCTCCTTATAACTAATTTGTCCCATTTGAGTATATCAAGAAGCAGGCTCGAGCTAGACCCATAGTTCACAGGCCTTAAAATTGCTCTAGCTGCACGGTTCTGTAACTTTTGTAATTTGTCGCTCAGTTGACCACTTAAGCCATCCCAAACGAGACTACAGTAATCAAAGTGAGGTTGAATTAAGGAGTTATAGACTAGTACCGCAGTAGATTGGGAGATAAGGGGCCTGATACGTCTAAGGGCACCTATAGCCGAAGTTACCTTCTTACNCCCAAACGAGACTACAGTAATCAAAGTGAGGTTGAATTAAGGAGTTATAGACTAGTACCGCAGTAGATTGGGAGATAAGGGGCCTGATACGTCTAAGGGCACCTATAGCCGAAGTTACCTTCTTACACAATTCGTTAACATGATTAGACCAGGAAAGCCGATTGTCGATAATGAGACCTAATAATTTTGCGTGATTAGCATTGTTGATAACTAATGGTCTTCTAGTTTGATGTTTATTTCGTTATGGCTTTCCGCAAGAAACTTTCTGGCGAGAGCCAATAACCATAAACTCGGTTTTCGCAACATTAAGACTAAGCTTATTGGCTTTTAGCCAACAGTGAAGGTTCAGTAGTTCTAAGTTACTCTCTTGTTCAAGGTCATCTAGAGAGGAACCAGAAATGGTAATAGTTGTACCATCTGCGAACATTTTAACGCATGCTGTATTAAGGCAGTTTGGAAGATCGTTGATATAGATTAAGAAGAACAAAGGACCGAGAATACTACCCTGTGGGACTCCGCATCTTAGTTCGCTTGCACTGGACAATACGCCATTAACATAACAATTCTGCCTCCTGTTACCTAGATAGGAGGCAAAGAATCGTAGGGAACCCAGATCAAGTCCATAGTTTGCAATTTTTCGTAACAAAATTGCATGGTCAATGGTGTCAAAAGCCGTTTTAAGGTCGATATATACCACACCTTTTAAAAGGCCGTTATCTATATTAATAGACCAGTTGTTCGTTGTTTCAAGTAGCGCTGTCATGGTGCTATGGAGCGATCGAAAGCCGGATTGATAAGTATTCAAGAGTTTGTTTTTTCTAGTAGGTAATCGTAGAGTTATTGATAGATAATTTTTTTCGAGTAGCTTTGAGGCAATTGGCAATACAGAAATTGGTCTATAGTTATTCAGGTCAGATTTTGATTCTTTTTTAAAGATAGGAGTCACATTGGCGATTTTCCATTCATCTGGAAAGGTTTCTGTTTCTATACAGCTATTAAAAATTTTCGTTAATGATGGTCCAATAATGGAACTGGCTAATTTCAGAAGTTTACAAGGAACTCCGTCCAATCCCATGGCTTTCTTTTCTGCTGTATATATCTAGCCGGATTTTTGAAAACGTTATCGTCAAATGTACCTTTTCCGTTCAACAGTTTTTTCGGCCAAAAACAAAAGTAGCTCATTATAAAAAGTAAGAGTGCAACCATCTCTTTTTTTTCCCTCCTCCCCCTTTCCTTCTCCTCGCTCTTTCTTTTTCTCCTTTCCTTTTCCTTCGTTACTGTGATTTTGAAGCTTCTTGGGCTTAAACCTGCCTTTTGACGCCTATTCAGAAAAATGATTGCAAATCTCGTTAGCCGTTGGTTTTCAAAAAATCGGTTAGATATATCAGGAGAGGTAGAGCCATTTTCTTTGAAAATGCTGTAAATTATTCATAATGACTATCG